ACTGGTGATAAAAGCGTGCATCGGTGTCTCCGCATTGGCCCGAGAGAGAATGGGGCGGACTCTGGCGATGTTCTTTAGATGATAAAAACCTATTTTGGTGATATTTTTAATATGATGGATAAAAGTCAGCTCAGAGTCAAAGATGACACCCATGTTCTTAACTTGTGAAGATGGATTAAGAGACAGTGATTGTAATTTTGGTAAAAGCTTCTCTCTCTGGGCCTCAGGACCGATAACTAAAACTTCAGTTTTGTCCTGGTTGAGCTGGAGAAAGTTTTCTGTCATCCAGGATTTGATGTCAAAAATGCAATTAAAAAGTGTGTCCATTGGCCGTGTGTCATCAGGAGACACAGAGACAGCTGTGTATCATCAGCGTAGCTGTGGAAACTCACCTTGTGTCTCCTGATGACACTGCCAAGAGGGAGCATATAAAGGTTAAAAAGCACTGGGCCTAAAATGGAACCCTGGGGCACACCACTTGTAATCCCATGAACCCTAGAGGAACAGGTATCCAAACTCTCCATAAAAGTCCTGTTTGTGATGTAGGATGTGAACCATTGGTGAACAGCACCAGAGAGGCCGATCCGTTTCAAACGAGTTAAAAGAATAGTGTGGTCTACTGTGTCAAAGGCAGCACTTAGATCCAGTAGAACCAACACAGTCACCCTCCGGGCATCATAATTTACTGTAAAATCCTTTAAAATCTTCAGAAGGGCCGTCTCGGTGCTGTGGTTCACCCTAAAACCAGACTGAAAATTTTCAAAGACATTATGGGTGTTGATAAAATCACTGAGTTGGATTAAAACAAGCTTTTCTAAAATTTTGCTTAAAAATGGTAAGTTGGATACCGGTCGATAATTGTTTGAATCATTAAAATCCAAATTGCTCTTCTTCAGCAGGGGCCTCACAACCGCCCATTTAAAAACGGCAGGAAAGACCCCCGTCTGAAGGGAGCAATTAATCATAGTTAAAACCTCATCTCTAAAAGAATCATAAAATAGTATAAAAAAAACCTAGTGGGAATAGGGTCCAGGACTCATGTGGTGGGTCTCACTGAGGAGAAATCTTTATCAAGACTGTCAGCTTCAACCAGAACAAAACTGTTCAGTGTTTCCTCAGGTAGACACACACTCTCAGATGTGTTTAAAACCACGTTACGTTGAGAGGATAAAATGTTACATCTGATAGTGTCTACCTTCCCTCTGAAGTGGGCTGCAAACTCCTCACAGAGAGCGTTTGAGGGGGTTTTCTGAGTTGAGTTTTGGTTGGAGTTGAGATTATTATTGATTGTGAAGAAAATCTCACTCTACTTGTCAGAAGGCATCATAACCCATGGTGAAGAAATGAGTTTTCACAGTTTCATAGCAGATGGGATCATTTGAAAATTGTAAAAATAATGCAATTTGTGTCCAAATGGGAAAATAAACAATAATTACTGTGTTTAAAATTGGGACTTAAATGTGCATACAGGCATTCCGTCTAGGGTGTACCCCGCCTGTAATCCCGTAGGCTGATGGAGATAGACGCCAGCACCCCAAAACCCTGGATGGACAAGCGGGTACAGATAATGGATGAATGGATGGAAGGACTTAAAGGTGTATGATGTAAGAAGGAAGTCAAAGTCTATTTTCCAAACAGACAAGTTACTCTCTCTCTCTCTAGCTCAAGGGGATTCTAGTCAAGACGATTCATACACAGTAAGTTGGTAAGTAGATAAAGACTTTTCACTGACATATCAAGATGTTGGTAATTGAAAAAGTAACTTGCGATATTTTTAGAGCTAACTATTTGTTGGCATCATTGGCTCAACATTAACTCAACATTAGCTCATAGTCTTCTTCACCCAACATTAGAGAAAAACAAAAAGATGCTGTGGCTTTTTAGGAGTACAAGAAATAACTTCTAGGTCACACCTGTTTACTGGCTTTGGTTCTTTAAAAAACTCTGGAGCTTTTACATTTTTCATCACAATTTGTATTTTTTCCTCATTTTAAACATATTTTTAATCTTTTTTGAAAATTTTTTATGCATATCCATCCATCCATTTTCATCCGCTTATCCAGAGTCGGGTCACGGGGGCAGTAGCCTAAGGCGAGAGGCCCAGACTTCCCTTTCCCCAGCCACTTGGGCCAGCTCCTCCGGGGGAATCCCAAGGCGTTCCCTGGCCAGGTGAGAGACATAGTCCCTCCACCGTGTCCTGGGTCTACCTTTACGTCTCTTCCCGGTTGGACGTGCCCGGAAAACCTCACCAGGGAGGCGTCCAGGAGGCATCCTGACCAGATGCCCGAGCCACCTCAACTGGCTCCTCCCGATGTGGAGGAGCAGCGGGTCTACTCCGAGCCCCTCCCGAATGACCGAGCTTCTCACCCTATCTCTAAGAGAGAGACCAGCCACTCTTTGGAGAAAACTAATTTCGGCCGCTTGTACCCGTGATCTCGTTCTTTCGGTCACTACCCAAAGCTCATGACTATAGGTGAGGGTAGGAACGTAGATCGACCGGTGAATCGAGAGCTTCGCCTTCTGACTCAGCTCTCTCTTCAATACGACAGACCGGTACAACGCCCGCATCACTGCAGATGCAGCACCAATCCGCCTATCGATCTCACGCTCCAGTTTTCCCTCACTCATGAACAAGACCCCAAGATACTTAAACTCCTCCATGGGGCAGTGGATTTCTCTGAAAAGTGTAGACGAATGACTTTCGGCTCCTGAAGACGGCAGAAAGTGTAAAATGCAGTTGTGTGCATTAGTGCAACAGATGCTTGTTTCACGAGTCAGCATAAACGAGTTACTTAAGAGCTCAGGTTTCTGTTGAGATCAAGGTGCTCATCAGAAGGATCAATGCCAATGGAATAGGTGGGGATTTCTACATTAGGTCGTTCATTATTTGTAACAATCAATTTGTCTGCAGTAGCAGCATTTAAAGTGTTCAAACACACATTTGAAATGAACTCACACTGCTGTCTGCACTTTGACCAAGTCAGCACCAAGTCACCTTCTACCACTCAGGTTATGTGAGAGCAGCTGACCCGGGATCAACGGGAAGTATCACAGCTTTCTGAGCACTAATGGTGCAGCTCAAATGTTCTTTTAGCCCGGCCATGAGATGTCACTCGATCGGGTCCACAAGGCATGGTTTCAGCAGTGGGTGGTGTCCTCCGGCTGCTGTGGCACAGCAAGCTTCTCACTAACACGCTGTGACACCGTCTGCCCTGACTCAGTGAGTCTCACTAGCTCCACCGTATCCTCCCGGAGGAGGAGGTGAGAGCGCCGATGCTCCCTGTCAGGAAACCAGAAACCACGAGGGGGAAGACGGAGGAAGACACCGCAGATGTGAGCTGGAAGCATGCTGGGATGGAAGGAAACTCTAAGAGGTGTTTCCTGCATTTTCAGAAACAAGAGAAGAAAATCCTCAAGAATTACTTTGCTTTTACTTGGAGGCGTAGAAAAAGGGGTGCACCACGAGAGACTTTAGGGTGAAAGAGGGGGAAGCAGCAGAGCTGATTCTCTGCTAAATCCCAGGATTGGGGGGGGGGGGGGGGGGGTGGGGGGGGGGGGGTTCAATTCCTGAACCTCAAAGTAGATGTGAGTAGAGAAAATACAACAAAGAAACAAAGAGGAGCAAAGATTGGCAGCTACTGAGAAGAGCCGCTGGAGAGAGAATGAGAGGAAGGGAAAGGGGGAGGGAGATGAAGGAGGGAGGAATACATTTACCTTGACTGATGCTGCGACAAGGGGAGAAAGCTGCCCCCCCCCCCCCCCCCCCCCCCCCCAACACTTGGAGATATTGTTGCTCCAGAAACATCATGCGACATAATCTCTGCAGTGCTGTAGGGCTGCACTGAGCATTATGCATGCCCTTATGCTCAAGCACACACACACACACACACACACACACACACACACACAGAGCAAACATCACATGGTTACGAGTGTGCAGGTGGGACGTGTTTGCATTTCAGAGAACATATCAATCAGCTGCAACTTCTCCACTATTTGCTGCAATAATTAGTGTTTTGTTAAAGTTAAGCCAATGCCCCCCCCCCCACACACACACACACACACACACACACACACACACACACACACACACACACACACAAGAACCATTGAACTAAGCTGGCAAAGACGCATCAATAATGTGTAAAACATGGTGCTATGATAAGATAAGCAGAGGCAGAAGCATCAGTAGAGATGTGAACATGTGATCGTTATTAGAACAGCCCTCCACCGCCTCTTTTTTATGTTTTATTGACAATAATTCCATCGATACGCCGCCCTGCAACGAGGAAATCAATCATCCTGGGACTGCTGGGGATTTAACGCCTCACACTCTAAAGAAGTTGGGTTAAAAAGTAGACGAATCCAGCTATTTCAAATGTTATCGTCTCTGAATATGAATCGTTTGTGAATTATAACTTCTGCTGATTTCCTTTGTGTAGTAAACTGTTACTAGGGGCGACAGCATCAGCTGCCATATAGGGCAAAAATGCTCCATGAATGTAAAGTGTGTGTGTGTGTGTGTGTGTGTGTGTGTGTGTGTGTGTGTGTGTGTGTGTGTGCAGGAGATGGTGTTGTCTTATTTACAGCCCCAGGACGCCCACTGGTGGTGGAAGTTTAGAATTACAGCTTCTTCATTCAGCATTTCTACAAAACAAAAGCTCAATTCAACAGTGAAAGGGTTAGAATTAACACACACATTATATTTAATTATTATTATTTCCACATCTGCTGGAGAAGGGTTGAATTTCTCTAATGATTTCATTCTTTCTTTGGTTTAAGACCTTGTAAAAACATAAAACAGGTTTTTATGGTGAAGGGTTTTTATTTATAAATTAAATGATTAAAAAAAAAAGGTGAAACCAACTCTCCCTGAATAAACACGTGTGACCACATCCTGCTGATTATTCTCATCAGTCAGTGGAAGAGTCTCACATTCAGAGCCTCTGAATTTAACACACACCACTAAAGAGCTCTCACACAGAAACTCTTCACTTCACTTCCTGGGTTTGTTTCAAAACTTTATTTAGAGGTTAAATGAAAGTAGAGATTACATATCTGTCATCAGGTTATGGAAGATAACAGATTTCACACAGCTACATGATGTTCAGGCCAGAGGGCGTGGCCTCTTTTATAACGCCAGCTCCAGTCCTGCTTCGTCACTACGGTGGCCAGGAAGGTGAAGGGCAAGCCCGTTTCCTCCCTCCATGCTATCATCTGACACACGTGGGATTCCATTGAGCTCATCCTCATCAGTGTCATGGTCATCTCCTGCATCCTGCTGTCCTCCGGCTCCGCCCACGCCACCTACATACACGCCCCCATCTGTGAAGTCCCCGCCTACTTTGGTGGTCTGAGGAGTTTCTCTGCTGGGGCTCAGGAGGAGATGAAAAGTGTGCGGCATGGCCTGGCGGTGGGGTTAGTTTAGACATTCTCTTAGATGGGCGGGGTTATAAAAGGAGAGGAAACGTCTGATTGGGTAACAAATTTAAAGAGCAAGTCACCCCCAAATCAACTTTTTTTTTTTTTGCTAATGAACTATATAAACGAATGTGCTGTAGACACGTGTGAATGATTTGGCACTTTAGTGCTTCTCAGTTAAAATTTAAATATTTTGCCCAAAACCTACAGTGTTGCGCCCTCATCTGCTAAAAACTCATTTGAATTTAAATCTGCCATCGCAATTCGCTAAGAGGTACCCTAGGACGTTAGCTGGTACTTTATGATGTCTCAATGCCTCTGTGAGCCCGTGTGTGTGTTTGTTAGCGGCTCTGCCCTCTCACTCTGCCAGGCAACACCTCCTTGTGGTGCATTTTTCAAACAGGAAATGGGAGTGGAGTTAGACTCGGGTAAGAGGGGACTTGCTCTTTAACCCTTTAAAATTCAAAAACTCTGGTAATGATAATATAACAATTATTAACTTTCATATTAAATTTATCCAGCAACTCTATAATAATACAAGAATAATTATACTAACTAAAAATCCCACTTGACACTTAAGTACATAAATAATCCATGAGCAGGCAGAAACCCCTTAAGAGATTTTAGACTGCAGATTGTTTTGGAAAATGCTAATCTTGCTAAAGAGATACAGCTACTACTAACTTAGAAATGTGTGTATCATACGATACAGTGGGCCAAGACATTTCTACCTTGTTTTGACTGTCTTGTCTCTCCTCAGCTCTCTGACCCAGTAGAACCAGTTCACTGAGCTGCAGGTTGGTGCTGCTGGGCGCACTGGTAGGCAGGAAGAACTCTGAACTCTAACACACAGTTACAGACATGTTTACAGTTTCTATCACTCACTGCTAAATTCAACCTTTTAACCAACTCACCTCTTGTGACAGGTCCACCTGCTCCCCCACCTGCAGGAAATGACATCATTATTTACACATTTACAGACGTCTTGTGAATTGTTGTCCAGTTTGTCTGATTTTGTCTCTCTTCATGCCTGAGTAATAGCTCTTGAACCATGAACTGATTTTAATTAACTCAATTCGAGATAGCCACAGCCGACTGAACTTGAACACAAAAATGGCCAAAACCCCGTCCTCATTACAGAAATTGAGCTAAAAATTCACTCGGTAGTGGATGATACTCATCGACATCATATACTCCAATACCCAACAGATGATGTTAAATTCTGCAGTGTGGCAGTAGATAAACTCAGATGCATTTAATTAAAAAGTCTAACCTGAAACACGATAACTGTAGGATTTTAACTTATGTCAGACAACTCACCTCCTGTGACAAGTCCACCTGCCCCCCTTCCTGCAGGAAATGACATCACCATGAGCATCATACTAACAAATGTCCCCATTGAGATAAATAAACTTTCAGAATGTGTGTGTGTGTGTGTGTGTGTGTGTGTGTGTGTGTGTGTGTGTGTGTGTGTGTGTGTGTGTGTGTGTGTGTGTGTGTGTTTTACTGTGTTTTCCAGCTTTGGTTGGTCTCTCATTAGTTGGAAAGCCTGTAGAAATAGTAAGTTACAGTTTATTTACGATGTCAGCTGGTTGGTGTTTAGACCAGTTAAAGACCCAATTTGAAGCTGCAGTTTGTCTAATGTCCACTAGGGGGTGCTGTGAAGACTGGCTTTAATTGTATGGATGCAGTTACTTGAGCAGAATACATGACTCCGTGATCGGCATTTATAAATTGATGATGAATCGTGTCACCTGAGCACTCTGGCTGGAGTCAGAGGAGTCTGAGGAGGAGGAGGAAGAAGAGGATGAGGAGGAAGTCTTCTGCTGAGGTGCAACGGGAGAGGGCGTAATCTGTGTGTGATTTTAATAAAGACATAAATGAATATGTCGCTTGTTTATTGAACGGAACATTTTTGTTTCACTAAAAAAGACATAACTTGTATAAGCAGCCTGAGGAAAATAGAGCTAGGGCTGCAAATTAAAGTAGTTTTTATTCCCTTTCCCTTTTGCCGTACACCTTTTAATGATTAATGTGGAAAAATTGGCACAAAATTATCATTTATTTAAAGTTTTAGGAGGTTTATTTCCTATGTGTAGCTTAAAATAATATTAATGTTTAAAAATAAAATATTTAGTTGTAATAAATTTAAATATAAAGTTGAACTTAACACATTTATCCCTGATTTTACAGTTTTAGATTTAATGACCAACTTTGTCACCATTTAGGTTTAATAATTAATGCATTTAGACATAACTAAATATATAATATTATACCTAAGTCAAATTCTCCCCAAATTTGTAGTCCATCACTCCATCCATTTTCTTCCGCTTATCCAGAGCCGGATCGCGGGGGCAGCAGCTTAAGCCGAGACACCCAGACTTCCCTCTCCCCAGCCACTTTGGCCAGCTCCTCTGGGGGAATCTCAAGGTGTTCCCTGGCCAGCCGAGGCCAGTGTGTCCTGGGTCTTCTCTTGCGTCTCCTCCCAGTTGGATGTGCCCGGAAAACTTCACAAGAAGGCATCCTGACCAGATGCCTGAGCCACCTCAACTGGCTCCTCGATGTGGAGGAGCAGCAGGTCTACTCCGAGCCCCTCCCGGATGATGAAGCTTCTCACTCTATCTCCAGCCACCCTGTGGAGAAAACTCATTTCGGCCGCTTGTATACGCGGTCTCGTTCTTTCGGTCACTACCCAAAGCTTGTGACCTAATGTGAGGGTAGGAGCGTAGATCGACCGTTAAATCTAGAGCTTCGTCTTCTGGCTCAGTTTTCTCTTCCCCACCACAGACAGGTACAACACTGCAGATGCAGCACCAACCCGCCAATCGATCTTGCGCTCCAGCTTTCCCTCCACTTGTGAACGAGCCCCCGAGACACTTGTTACATCCCCCTCTGGAGTCTGGGAGTCTTCTGAGAGGGATGTCCAAGATTTAGACAGTTTCTGGTGATGTTATATGACTAGGAGTCTGCTAAACTTAAATTACAACCACAGGGGTGACAAACTAAGAGAGGAAGCGATATTACAAATGTTCAGCTCTGGATTAACTTAAAAACATCCAAAAATGGTAAACGGGTCAGTAAAGGAACTAAATTTACTTTGAAACAAAACTTACCCAAGCTCTAGTATAAAATGGACAAACGCCTAAAATAAAGGCCTTTAACTAAAAGGGCTCTGACCGTAACAAAAGGGCTTAACTCAGTGACTCTTTTCTAAAGAGAGTAAACAACTACAAGCCACAACAGCAAAAGGAAAGAGCTCTTCTTAACAGAGCTAAAGGGCAGTATTAACTTAAACCCAACCAACCAAAGGACAATGCTCTCCTCTGAAAAAAGCTACAAACAAAATGGCCTCTCAATAGGCTTCCAATCTTAAAGTGCTCTAATCATGCAAAAGTGCCGAAGCACGTGAGCTCAAAATCTTAAAGAGGTAATTTGACGAAGTCTCAACTTTACTCAAAGAGACTAACTTTAAATAGTTTTGGTAGTGCACTGTGTTCCCCTCCTGAGGCGCCGGACGGTGGACCAGAATCTCCTCCTAGCCATGCAAAGTCTTTCTCCACGGTCACACCCATCGAAATATATACAGGTCTCACCGAACTCCTCCCATGCCCAGGTTCTTGCCTCAGCGACCATCTGAGTTCCACTTGGACTTGCTGCCATGACCCTGCGGCCACAGCTCTGATCGGCCGCTTCAACCATGGAGACACGGAACAGAGCCCATTCGAACTCTGTGCCCCACCTCCCGTGGAACGTTTTGAAAAGTGGGAATTGAAGCTCCTACTGACAGGAGCCTCTGCCAGACGTTCCCAGCAGACCCTCACGTTACGTTTGGGCCTGCCAGGTCTTACCGACATCCTCCCGCACCATCAGAGCCAACTCACCACCAGGTAGTGGTCAGTTGACAGCTCCGCCCCTCTCTTCCCCCGAGTCTCCAAGACAAGTGGCCGCAGATCAGATGAAACGACAACAAAGTTATTCATCGAGCTGCTCGATGCTCGATCATCTAAATATGTAGTTTCAAATATTAATATATGACCCTAACTCTAAATGTTAAGAAATATATATTATGTGACCAATATTTATAATATTACATTAATAGATTTAAACCTAAATATCGTCACCCTCTGAAAATAATGGCCTAAGTAATTTTTCAGGTTTTTAACCAAACACAAAAAACCGAACTAAATATTGAATATATAACATTTATTAACAATTTCATTCTAAAAGGTTATGATAACAGATGACCATTGACATATTAAAACATTTTCAGAAGCAGTCCAGCATCACTGGGACATGATTTAGGCAATATATATATATATATATATATATATATATATATATATATATATATATATATATATATCTGTAAAAATATGACATAGGCCATTATTTTAGGAAGGTGACGATATCTAGAATCACATATTCATTTTGAAATGTAAATAGGAATTATAAATATTTAGAATCTAATGTCAACAATGGAAGTTACATCTAAAGATTTAGAATAAACTAGAAATACTTAAAATTAAATCTATATATTTAGATTCAAATCTTAAACTTTAGAATATATATTTAAGAATTTAAACAAAGTTTTCAACATGCAAAATCAGACAATTAAAACCTGAAGTAGCCCTTCAAACAAAAGCAGGGTTTAATAATTAGTTCATCTGCTAAAATCATGACTGGTTAAATTAACTCACACAACCTGACATCTACTCTGGATCGGGGATCTCTTCACCTTGTCTTTTGCTGATTTTCATGTCTGGATTTAGAGCTTGGCTAAATATTTAGTTTAAAGGAAACAGGATTCAAATATTTAGATGTAACTTTATAAATTTAGAGTCTTTAGATTGGACATATTATAAAAAAAATTTTGAATCTAAACATTTAGACAACATTGTAATTTACTGAATGCAAAAATGTACTTAGCATTTCGACTGCCACTTTTCTATATTATGACTTCATGTGACAACGTTAAAGTTTTGAGTGCACTGGTGCCCGTACAGATGTGTGCATGAGTGAGCTTTAGCTTTTATAACAAGCAGCTTGATTCTATTTCAGTTAAAAAACATGTCCTCCTGTCTCTAGTTGGATGAACTTTCTGTAGTTTCTTTTCTCTTCGATAAAACGTTTTTTTAACAGGATCGTTGCAGACAGGAGACATACTCACAGCTGTTTGGTATTGTTGCTGCAGAAGGAGCTGGACGCTGCCATGTTTTCCTGGTAACTGCACGTGCGCACGCACACACACACACACACACAGGTTAGTGATCAGTCTCAGGTGTAATGAAACAATTATTTGATCAGGAAGATTCATCCTTACAGAAGCAGCCTGGTTCTGGTCCAGCAGACTAACAACGATCAGGAACATCCACATCCTGGGCCCAACTTGAAACAGTCAGTTGGTTCTGAAGATCTGGATCCGTTCTGTTTCTGGAGGGATCTGCAAGTTCTGAGTGAACTCTGCTCTTTTTCAAGTCTCTTGTTGTGTAGACGACAGGAAACCAGCATTCATCGCGTGACTTTCTGTCTCCGCCCCCCTCCTACGGAACCCGCCCATCAACAAGAATAAATTGATTTACACACAGTGACTGGGTCTGGGTTCTGGTGTGTGTGTGTGTGTGTGTGTGTGTGTGTGTGTGTGTGTGTGTGTGTGTGTGTGTGTGTGTGTGTGTGTGTGTGTGTGTAGCGTTCTGACATTACCACGCAGACTGAAAGCCCATCAGAGGTTCATGTGTCATATTTGTGATGTAAACAGATGGGGGCGAACCACAGGCCAGTCTTGGATCCGTTTCAGACTTTTCCAGGAAACTAAAACAACTTAATGAATAAACTTTATTAAGGAAATCCATCCATCCATCCATCCATTTTCATCCGCCTATCCGGAGTCGGGTCACGGGGGCAGTAGCCTAAGGCGCGAGGCCCAGACTTCCCTCTCCCCAGCCACTTGGGCCAGCTCCTCCGGGGGAATCCCAAGGCGTACCCTGGCCAGGTGAGAGACATAGTCCCTCCACCGTGTCCTGGGTCTACCTTTAGGTCTCCTCCCGGTTGGACGTGCCAGGAAAACCTCACCAGGGAGGCGTCCAGGAGGCACCCTGACCAGATGCCCGAGACACCTCAACTGGCTCCTCTCGATGTGGAGGAGCAGCGGGTCTACTCCGAGCCCCTCCCGAATGACCGAGCTTCTCACCCTATCTCTAAGGGAGAGCCCAGCCACTCTTTGGAGAAAACTAATTTCGGCCACTTGTTTCCATGATCTCGTTCTTTCTGTCACTGCCCAAAGCTCATGACCATAGGTGAGGGTAGGAACGTAGATCGACCGGTAAATCAAGAGCTTCATATTCTTATTCGGCTCTCTCTTCACCACGACAGACCGGTACAACGCCCGCATCACTGCAGATGCAGCACCAATCCGCCTATCGATCTCACGCTCCAGTTTTCCCTCATTCGTGAACAAAACCCCAAGATACTTAAACTCCTCCACTTTGGGGTGAAAAACAAATCCTGGATTAGACCTACTAATCAAAAGTATTGGTTTTTTTCATTCAACAGTATCTGGTTGGCATGGCAACACATCTGATCTCTATTGTTGATGTATTTTCTATGGTTTATAGCACTAAAATACCCACTTTCATCAGGAGCTGGCTGTGGGTTAAAGCAGACTAATAAACGAAAATGTGATTACAAGGTTTAAAATCTCTGAGTTAGTTTCACTTTTACTGTGCTCAAGCTACGTGAAAATACTTCACTTCTACGTGAATAAGAAAAAAAAACGAATGCGATTAACGTCACCAGTCACGTAGTTGAAGCAGGTCAGAACGCTGCCTTCACAGGCTCCAACTGAGTTCATGAACACACTTTTAAGCATTGTTTACAATTTTTGTCAGCATTTTGTTTACCAGCTGGTGTTTATAAATCTTAGTTCACAACAATGTTTGACAAATACCCATCAGTGATTAATAAAGAGCATTCGAGAAACGGCTGTTGTTCATAAAACTATCTCGTGAAACTAGGACCTCTGTTAACAGGATCAACAAGACAGAATATGTGATCTGTGTAGGTAAACTGTCTCCCTACACTGTGATCACTATACAAAATTACAGGGACCAGTTCTAAAAGGTTCCATTTGTATTGTGGTTTATAGTCTGCCAGTCCGCGCTGTAAAAATGCAAGCATCTGCAGAATTACTCATAAATGAGTCCGATTAGATGTCTAAAACATGCATTTAATCCTGTTTTTCCACGTCAGAGTTAACAAATCGAACACATCTCCATAATGAATTAAAAAACCAAGCACATCGGTGTGTTTGCAGAAAAATAAAAAGTATCTCAGTCATCCAGAGAGGCGAGCGTGCCCACATTGACCAAAGTTTATGATGGAGACCGTTTGTCAAAGTCAGACCGATGGAGCTGTGGTGAACCAACAACGCAACCAGCTCACAGTAAACACATTTCACAACCAACGGGATTTGCAGCCACACAACCACACACACAGAGGTCCATAGGATGGGATTCTGGAGGGAAAGCAACTACATACCAGATGGTCATGGTAAAGAATGGTTTATTAGTTGTGTAAAGCATTTCCATGTGTGTCTGCCCATCATCCAGAGACATGGGGCTCAGGTTAAACCAGATAGAACAGTCTGATTTCATTAAGAATTTTATGGAAAATATTCCAGTTTTCTGGTGAAGTTGTGTCACCATCACTCACAGATGTCTCCTGGTGGTCTGGAGGTAACCTGTGAAATGGTCTTTGATCTGTTTGGAGGAGCTACTGGGATCCAAAACCCACCAAACTGGTTCTACCTATTCTTTAACTGGGAGCTGAAAGAAGGACTGAGTCCAGAGTGTGTGGTGAGACGGGGTCAGCCTTTAGAGTTTCACCACAATGTGTGTGTGTGTGTGTGTGTTCTGTTTCTAAATCAGTGAGTTGGATGTGAAACACTGTTTATCCGCTACCAAACCAGACAGTTTAAATCAGTTCACATAACAGGAAACTTTCATCAAACCAGACGAATTAACAACTTTTATCTGATTTCACAGTTGAGAGTCAGTTCACCGACCAGGTGAGACAATAAAAACTCCCTCATGAACACCTTTATCCTCACCTGTGTCCTGTATACGTGGGGCTGTGGGTTAACGAGAGGACACGGAAACAAGCAAGGGACACTTCATGACGCCTGGTGCATAACTGGAGTGCATTAATAAACTAACAAAAAACTGGGTGAGTACACTACCTGAAATCATGTTAAATTGATGCTAAATAATTACCAAAACGATATAATCATGAAGAAAACCATTCAACAAGACACATGCTAACGATAAATCTTCATCCAAAACTGAACTCTTCTTGCCCTCTTTGGTGAACCTCATCAGTAACGTCCTCGTAGGAAACCTGCGCATCAAAAGTGAGATTCACTCTCATGGTGGGAGGCTGGAAATTTGAAAATTGCTGTAAATGAAAGACGTGATGTGTAATTGTTAACCAATGGCATCAGAGTTTAGTTTGCTGACCCTCTGACCCACCACAGGTATGGAGAGCAGTAAAGTGGTGTCAGTCCTAGACCAGGTTTGATCCTCCCTATGTTGTGCTCTAAGTTTCTGCGGACCAGTTTTTCCCAGACCTGATTAAATGATTGAGTGACCTCGTCAACATCTCCTCGGCTCTGCACAAGTCTGTTAATCATCAGTCGATGCAAACCAGGTGTTTTAAAACCTCTAAACATCTAAGACATGCAGGTCATTGGGTGTTATAGAGCAGGACAGGACACCACATGGGACCAGGGAGACCATACATCCCCATTCTATTTTATAAACACTGTTTTAAACAACAGTCAGTGTTTGTTGATGCTCTTTATCGATCTCTGATTGTTGCTCCACCACCGCACCACCTTCCACTTCCTCCACAACCATGACCTCTCATCCCTTCTTTCCACTTTGCTTCTGGGATGCATCCAAAACGTCACACGACTAATTACCATGTGGTACGTTTTGCAGTCATTTTGCGACACTTTCAAGTAGTGTTGTCAAATAAATCGATACCTAGATATAAATCGATACTAAAAGTGGTATCTAAATTAGATAGTCCATCCCTGTGGTATCGATATTATGGACTATTATACACAGCCTTCTTCAAGTACACCGACACGCACGACAGCCAGATGCCGTAAAGCAGCCTCCGCCTCCCAGACAAACAGAAGAAGAAGACGCTGCATGGCTACATTGCAATTTCCCACTCGAGTTGTCTCCGATCCAAGTTTTGTCTGCCAAATAAATAAACAAAAATATAAACAGCGAATTTGGGAGGCGCTTCACAGCCCAACTTCATTAGCATACCAAGTCTGACACGTAGTCGTATATTCACGCTTATGTGCTTTAAGGAAAACTCCCGTTTATTGCAACACGGACTTAATTTCTAGCATGCAGTACATTTGTTTACTCACGCTGACAACTTTGGTGCTACTTGGATTCCACGGGGTATTTACCGTAGATCCATCGGCGAATCGCCGTCAGTGTATATCCATATAACAGGTGCGGACGGGCACCCATGGTGCAGCCTCGAAATAAGACATTATCTGCACCAAAACATCTCAATGGCAAAAGGTTTTGTTAGGAGTCATTAACGTGATTCCCCTGTTCATTTGGAGCGAGTCTGGGATTTCTAGGCGTGAACAGACTAGCCGCGGCTAATTAACCAGCGCTTTTGATGACGTCACTGCCGTGCGCCAATCTGTTTTTATTAAGATTACCGGTAGATGTACCTTTGTCCTACTGTGGAGAAATTTGTTTTCTCCCTTTATTGACCAACAGAGTTGTTCAAAAGTACAGAACAAAACATATGGCAGCTTATGACAAAAATGCACCTTAAACAGAGTTTAAGCTGCAAAACATCACTCTGCAAATAGTGTATATATAGTGAGACAATTCATGATTTAAAGTGTTAACTTTCTCCAGTTTTTGTATGCACATTTTAAAAAATGCTGATACTTGAAAGGCTTAAGCACTTTACACACTTAATTCTTAACATTAAATTTTTGCAATATAAATTGAAGAATGTTATTTTTTTAATAAACTTGTTCAATAAATTGGGTTTTTTAAATAGTATCGAAATCGAGTATCGAGGTTTTTTTCCAGTATTGAATCGAGTTTGAAATTTTAGTATCGTGACAACCCTACTTTCAAGTTTGGTGCACAGAAGGGATCATACACTGAATATGGAACGGACGCGGTCAGTTTTCCATATGGCTTTTGCAAATAACAAAAAAATGATGTTCAATCAGAGCATTCACGTGCAGACTTTCATGAAGTTAATGAAATTTCATGAGCCAGACTGGAAGTGAGACGTGGTTCAGTGGCGTGCATACGGTATACTTCAAAATGTCACAATGTCACATTATATAGATGTTCAGCACACAGACAGCATCCAGTGGCAGTTCGTCCGATAGCCATCCGGAAACCAGACTGCATCAGTTCAGCCATCTCTAGATGA